AGCTGTTCTATTTGGTACATGATTTGAATACTAAATAGGGCAGATTTGGGCCCTGCACCAGCAGCATTCCTGTCATGTTCCTAGATCTGGGATTCTCAACTTCAGCAACTTTAAGATGTTCAGATTTCAACTCCCAGAATCCTCCAGCTCACGCATGGGCTGGAGGATTCTGGGAGTTGAAGTCCGCCTATTTTAAAGTCGCCGAGGTTGAGAAAAAACTGTTCTAGCATCTTACTAGCTCATTCCAAGAATCCCAATAGGAGGTTGATCTTAGTCAAAACTCAGCTTCCTTGATTGTTGTCAGAATAGATAGCACTGGTGAAAGATGCCGGTCATAGCTGAAATCTAGTACACGTAAGTCCTCAACTTACAACCATTTGTTTAGTTACTGTTGAAAGGGACACTGGCACTGAAAAAAGTGACTTACAACGGGTCCCTGCACTTAGAACCATTGCAGCATCCCCACAGTCACATGATCAGAATTTGGTTACTTGGCAACTGGCATGTATTCACAACAGCTGCAGCATCCCGGGTCATGTGATTGCCATGTGTGACTTTCCCAACTAGCTTCCTACTAGCGGAGTCAAAGGGGAAGCCATATTTGACTAACGACCACATGATTCACTTTGCAGCCATGGCAAAAAAATTCGTAAAATTAGACACGATTCATTTAACAGCCACCTTGCTTAGCAATGGAAATTCAGATCCCAATTATGGTTGTAAGTCGAGGACTACCGGCATGGCCTTCTATTTTACCCAACCTTTGTTACATCTGCAGAAACATCGCTGCCTCCCCACCCCCACCCCTCTCACCTGATGGTGAGATGGAGACCGCCTAGGCAATCATCCATGGGGAGATGAGCATATGAAATAGCTCCATCTGTTGCAGCTCTGGAGACCCACAGTGTGTAGTAAATTCAACTACAGCAGCTATTGATTCCTACTCTGTGGAACAGTAATTATATTGAACTGTGAACAGACATGTTAAGCTGCGGAAAGCTTTCTCTTCTCCTCTCCTTCATTTTTTTTCTTTTAACCTCTTAAAAGAAATGAAGAATCTCTTTAAAATTTGTATTTATCAGTGTTCCACATGGAGAATAATGGCCATTTCATTAATGAGGGAAAGGCAATCTTCACATGCTCTCAAGGTCTTTGTGTCTCAGGTCTTAGTTGAACACGCAGCAAAGCTTAACTGTGGACTCAAAAGCGCACCCCCGTCTCTGTAGATGAACAATCTCTCCCTATCTTCGTATGTATGGGTATGATTGTGGTATGATTGTGTATATCAGAAAGATCTAGGTTCCAGGTTTATGTGTAAGAGTCCTGCTGGTTGGGGCAAAGATCCAATGAATTTACTACCCTCTTTCTAGCAGAAGTTACCAAATGTTTGGGAAGGGACAACAACAGCAGACATTCTAAGATATACTACCTTGGAACATGGAGGTTCTGTTTAGTGGTTTGCCAACAGTCTTTCATAGTTCTTTCTCCATGAACTGAAACTGCTTTTGCCTAGAATAGAATAGAATAGAATAGAATAGAATAGAATAGAATAGAATAGAATAGAATAGAATAGAATAACTAAAATACTGGTAGTCCTCATTTAGCAACCACAATTGGGACCAGCAACTCAGTCGTTAAGTGAAGAAGTTGGTAGTGAAACCGCAACTGGTGTTATAATCTTATTTCAGCATTCTTTTGCTTTACAGACATGCAAAGGTCATAAATGTGAGGACTGTTGTGAAATTACTCTTTCATCATCATTGTAACTTCGAGCAATCTCTAAACATGGCAAGTCGCTGAACGAGGACCACATTTTAGGACTGTTCTTGAGTTGTTCCACTGCCCTCTGCTTTAAATGAATTTACAAAGCTTCCCACTTGGTTTAGATTTTAGCAGACTGCAAATGTTGGCTCGGAAACCTGGTCAAATCAGCCCCTGTTGGCCCTTGGCAGCTTCTTGCTGGTTCCAATTGTGTCTATAACCTAATACCGCAGAATAAATTCTGCTGCTTTGTTCTTTTAACCCTGCCTGGACTTCAGTATTGACCTCTGCCGGTATGGATGCTCTCAACTAAATCTCTGTGATTCTCATGTCTGTTTTCTGCTCATCATCTGCCACAGGCTGAATTTATTGGGTGGATTTTTGTTTTTGCTTGGCTTATACAGCATCAATGTATTTGCAGACTGAATCAATTTTGTGCAGTGGGAAGCCTGCAAGGGAAGACGGGAAAGGAAGGGGAAACGAAAGGGGGTTTTTTGACTGTAGTGAATGCTTTGATCCAAATTCTGATTTGCAAATCTATGTCGTTGCTGTCGATTTATTTTTCTTTGGTTTTAATTTCCTTTTAAAATGTTAGTATCTATTTAAAAAAAAATTAAAAGAGAAAATATGACTGTTTTGTGCCAAAAAAAGGCTTATTTTTCTTTGTTTTCCTTGCAAGCATCTGATGGTCATAGGGTAGGTGGTCCATTCATCTGCTGGGGTTTTGATAGCCAGCATTTTTATCTTTACATGAATTAAATGTCAGTTGGGACACATGAAGTCTGAAAAAGAATATAAAGGCCTTTGGCAAAAATGTCTTCTCATGCCCGTGCTGATGTCTGCTGTCTCAGGGCTGCACCTTATCAAACAAATTTCGTGGGTTTTTGATGCAATGCAAAAACACCTACTAAACCTGTCATGAACAGGTGAACGATGGCCAGATGCAGACTGGGTGGGAGCAGCCATCTCACCTTCAAAATGTAGAATTTGGGAGTTCTTTTTTTTCTAAGAGCAAACTGAACATTCCCAGTTGGAGATGTTCAGCTCAAGTATGGGCTTGGGATGGTTGAAAGGAGAACTGACTTCTGGAGACATTTTTCCTAGTATTAATACTCTATGGAGTCCTTGGCGCCCTCTGAGCTTGGTTTTTTTCCCCCCAGACATTTCATTACCCAACTAGGTAACATCTTCAGTGTTAACACTTTCCTAGCACTGAGGTTGTTACCATGCTGGGTAGTGCAATGTCTGCAACAAAAAATCCAAGTTCAGAGAGCACCAAAAACTCCATAGTTCAGTCCTGAGCTACAAAATTTCTCTTTTACTGGTATTAATACTTCTTCATGGGGTTTTCCTGATGCCTGATCAATGACCCTTTTCAAATTAAAAATCGGAGACTCCCTTTTGGGGTTTTATGCTAACTTGGATTGTTTTTTTGAATGATGTTATGCCAAAATCGTGCATTCTGCACCAGTGGGCCTGGTGCTCACCTGAACCAGCCATTTTCAACCTGACCCTCCAGATGTTTGGAACTACAACTTTCATCATCCTTGACCATTGGCCGTATTAAGTGGCAGCTGATGAGAATTGTAGTCCAAAACAGGTGGAAGATACCAAGATTAGGGAAGTTGTAGGAGATGATGTACGATGAGATAAGAGTTAAAAGGTTACAAGTTGCTGGGCTTACTGGGAACTTCAGGGGTGGTATATCTGATTAATTCCTCCTATTTTCATAAAATCTTAAGAGTTAGAAGGGCTCTTAGAGATCATCTAATCTATCTCCTGCACAGTACAGGATCTGCTAAAACATCTCTAAGACCATTTTTTGCCATCCTCCATCCTCCACCCCATTCTCCTGAATGGAAAAGATGGAGCAAGGGACATTTCAGAATTGCCATAAAGAATTTCTTCAATTGGAATGCACAAATGTACATAACGTTTAAAAAAAATAAAAATCCTGGTTTTCCAGATTCCTGTTCAGGAATCACTGTGCCTGTCTCAGCTCAAGATAGGATTTACAGTTTAATCGATTTAAATACTAATGATTCTCTCTCTGGGTAGCCAGTCAGGGAACATGTGATATCAATGGGAAGCCATAATGATTGGATTCAGACAAAGCCCTGAGAACTAATCATGATAAATGAATACAGAATTTAAGTGCAGACATTTTGCTATTTAATTTTTCTAGTCCTCCTCAAAAAAAAAAAAGCAGGTGGATAACTGCAGTGTTGCAATCTTACAATTCAGAGAGAGATCAGAGACTGTCACCTTAAATCTCACCTATTTCTGCTTGAGGAATGGAATCAGAATATTTTACGCAAATAGACACATTGACGGAAAACACTATACAGATAGACCTTGACTTACAAAAATTCATTTAGTGACCGTTCCAAGTTACAGTGGCACTGAAAAAAGCGACTTATGAGAGTTTTCACACTTACGACCGTTGCAACATCCCCATGGTCACGTGATCAAAATTCAGACGCTTGTCTGAATTGTCTCATATTTATGACGGTTGCAGTGTCCCAGGGTCATGTGATCCCCTTTTGCGACCGTCTGACAAACAAAGTCAATGGGGAAGCCAGATTCACTTAAAGACCTGTTTATTAACACCTGCAGCGATTCACTTAACGACTGTGGCAAGACAGGTTGTAAAAGGGGGGGTAAAATTAACTTAACAACTGTCTTGCTTAACAACAAAAATTTGGGAGCTCCATTGTGATCGTAAGTCAAGGGCTGCCTGTATATCGTTATGTCTTTTTTAAAAAAAAAAAATTTTTGAAGAGAAGCAATGCTAATGAATGAGAGCCAGCTCGGTGTAGCGGCTAAGACATCAGACTAGAAACTCTGGAAGACCATAAGTTCTAGTCCTGCCTTAGGCACGAAGCCGGCTGGGTGACCTTGGGCCAGTCACTCTCTCTCAGCCCTAGGAAGGAGGCAATGGCAAACCACTTGCCAAGAAAAGTGCAAGGACATGTCTGAGACTGGGACACAATTGAACGGATGGGGGAAAAAAAAAAGGCTAATGAAAGCCATCTGGTGTATTCCTTTATCTGGAGACGGGGCATTGCAAATGTTGTATGGATTGGGGGAGTGGGTGGGTGGGGGGGGGAGGAGAAAAATGGAAAACAAGCTTGATGTGCATGAATTTGATAGCCATGTTATTTGTTCTCTCTCTCTCTCTCTTTTTTTTCCCCTCCCTCCCCTCCCCCCCTTCTTTTCCTTTAAAACCACCCGCATAGCCTGCAAACGTAAAGAGCAGGAGCAGCAAAAGGACCGGAATCTGCAACCGAAAAAGCAACGCCTGGTCTTCACCGACCTCCAACGCCGCACCCTGATCGCCATCTTCAAAGAGAACAAGCGGCCTTCCAAGGAGATGCAGATGACCATTTCGCAGCAGCTGGGCCTGGAGCTCAACACCGTCAGCAACTTCTTCATGAATGCGCGCCGGCGGTGTATGAACCGTTGGCAAGAGGAGCCAGGCACCAACCCCGGAGTCCCCTCTTCATCCACAAGCACTTTTTCCAAAGCATGATCTCTTTTATTATTATTTTTTTCATACGCCTCTCATCCCTTGCATCCCCCTGAACTCCACCCAGAAAAGAGCCCGTTCCCTTCTCCATGTGTGCTCCCCTCACCTGCATACACCTGTACGTTGAGCAACGACAGCGCATGGGGCCCACTTCACTACCAATCCACAGCGGATGCCTCTGGGATATCCCAGATCTTCCAGAGGCATCCCATGGCAGCCTCCGCCTTTGACCTCCCTCAAACCTTCCCATTTGTGGAGGAGGGCCATTTCATCTCCTCATCTGGTGAGCAACCTTCTCCCAAGCCTTGGGTTTAGCTGAGGAACATCTTCCTTCCTGGAAGTTTCAGCCAGCGAGTAATTAAATTGTTCTGATGGCAGAGGGGGAGGGATCTGTAAGGAGCAGCTTAATAGCAGAAGCTTTCATGGAAGTGGATTTGAAAGCTGTCATCGTGGGAACAAAACGCTTATCCCAGATGTCCTGGCTATGTAAGGAGCAAGTGTGTGGTGTATGCCTTAAAAAAAACAGCCCAGCACTGGAAAATGGAAGGGAGGGCAAAAAGCAAGTATCTTATTAATTTGTGAAGCTGATTCAGCTCTCTGAGATGTATTTCTAGATACCTGTCCACGTAACTGAACTTCGTCCAATTCCTGGGTTTTAAATTCCAGACTAACTCATCGTTCCTACTGGGGTTGTCTTTCACCACTGAGATAGAAGTGAATTGTGGGATACTTCTAAGATTCATATCAGACCTGTAATATCCAATTATGTCTCTCCTTCCTATTTCAAAGAGAGGTCATTTATTGTGAAGCTGATAGTGGCCTGCCTCTGATATGGGAAAAGACATGTGGGGGAATCATGTAGGAATCACTTAGCCTTTATACGGAGACAAGCTGCAATTGTTTATCCTGAAATGAGAGTCAGTGATGACATGTGTGAATGTAGGTTAGGGAGTTGCTCAGTTTGCAAGCCAAGGAAAGGGCCACCTACATCCTTCATTCTAGTAGCAAGGGGAAAATGCATGAAAATCCATTCCAGAAAAAAAAAAGACATCTTCAAAATGTTATCATGTTGTCCTCATGTACATTTCCTACAGCTCAGCCCTTTTTTCCCCCACATCCTGTTCTCCACAAAAGTCTTCACACTCCAAGCGGTCCCCATGAAAATCCACCAGAAATCTTGCCAAGCGCATCACGGCATGGTCTGAAAGTTACCAAAACCAAATTCAAAAGTCTCAAAAGAAGACTTTTTTTTTCTTTTTTGACGATTCCTCTCCAAGGAATTCCAAGCCAAAGTGTCAAGGGAGAAACCAGAAACTCTGACGAAAAATGATCCCCTCTTTTCTCCCTTGACTTAGTCGTGTGGAATCCAAAGCGAAGTTGCACTGTGTCACCTAGAGTAAAAGCGGGTCATGAAGCACATTTTACGTACATAAATCGGGTAATTAAAAAAAAAAAAGCTTTAAAGAAATCAAAGCAAAGCAGTGCAGGAGTTGAATTTTTATTTCCTGGACACTGGATCAGCAGCTGACCTTCCATCCAATGTTTCATTCCAAAGGCCAGCCTCAGCTGAATTATTTCCATCCTCACTCCCCTTTTTTTGCCTCCTATCCCCATTTTCTGCCTCCAGTACATACAGGATGGCAGAAGGGGAGAGAAACCAGGATGGTATATGTGATAGGAATCAGATTGGGCAAGTTGAATTGAGTGGGGGAACAGATCATGAATCTGTTTGCTAAATGGATCAAATAGATTTGATTGGCAAGGGGAAGACTCCTCCCCCAGTCCTTTTCCGGTCCCAGCTCCGTATCCTCCCTGTTGAAAATAACAAACTACAAAAAAAAAACAACCTCCTTTAAAAAAAGGAATTCTGGCAACGTACGAAAGATAAGTGACTATTTTTTGTGTGTGTGCCAATTAACAGCTTGCCTTAAAAATAGAAGATGGATACCAGATGACAGTCCTCTTTTGCTTGAAAAGGAGGACTTGACTTCAGTAGAGTCTGGCGCCATGAATCAGGAGCGTTTGCAAGGCAAAAAAAAAAGAGAGAGAGAGAGAGAGAAAGCAAGAAAAAGAAAGACATGGTCAACTTGATGAGAAATAGCATCACCAGTTAAACCTGTATGTCTGGCTGGCAAAGTTGAAGCCCCCCCCCTTTGCCTATGGAGCCAGAGAAAAGGCGTTTGAGGAGGCAGAGAGGCCGCAAAATCGCAGCCTTGCCCTCTCCGTGCTAAACGTGGGATTCTTTGTACGTGTGTTTCTGTGTGTGTCGTTTCTTTGTTTTATTATTTTTTTTAACGGGACACTATCAAATTGATGCGGGTAATAGAGCACCATCCTTGCGCAATGGCTTATGCGTTCACTTTATGTTGAAGACAATGCGTTGAGCAACCCTTAGGCACCTTTGGGAATGGAACAAAAAGAAAGAAAGAAAGAGAGTTAAAAAAAAAACCAAAACCCCAGAACCATCAAAAGTTTATTCTTTGAGCAGAAAAGGAAGAAGGAAGGGGAAAAAAGAAAGAATTAAATGACTGCTAATATTTCCTATCTTCAGCAAAACATTTTGTCCTGGTCATGACTGTTGGGTGCAACCAATCAGGGTGTGGGATGAGTGGGAACTTATTTGGACCAACCAAAGAAAACCGGAAAAGGGAAGATAGCAGATGCTGAGATATGTTTTATCAAAACACACATGCAGAGAGAGAGGGGGGGATGCCACAGGAGGACAAAAGCCCCCCCCCAAGTCACCTCTCTCAGAGACCGCCCCAAGTGTCCATCCCCTTCAAATCTACCCCACCCTACCGCATCATCTTGTCTTGTTGTGAGTTGTCGATGCTAAAAGAATGATGGAGAAGGACTCTGGTGGATTTCCCATACCTGATTTTGTGAAGTATTGAAGGGCTGAGAAGCCTCGCTAAAGGAAAGAAAAAAGAAAAAAAGAAAAAAAAATGAAATGAAATGAAATAATGAAATGAAATGATGGGGCCTGAACTGAGTAGAAGAACCGAAGGGAGGGGCAGGGGGGAAAAAAAAAGCAAAGAAAAGGAATAGTTCTATCAAACGAACGACCCCGAACATGCAAAGACATTTTTAGTGAGAACCAGAAAATATAGGCTACCTCACTTGAGTTTTCGATTTTTGTGATTTGAAAATCACATCTGATACCAAAGATTTTGTTCTCCTTGCCTGGTTTGTGCTGGATTATACACATTTGCGCCTCCCCTTTCTTGTTCCCTTGTGATCCTCCATTTATAGCTCATAGTCACAGACCTTTCCCCATCCAACTGTCTCCTGTGCTTTCCAACTTCCCGAGAGAAAGAGAGAAAGAAAGAAAGAAAGAAAGAGAGAGAGAGAGAGAGAGAGAGAAAGAGAGAGAGAGAGAGAGAGAGAGAGAGAGAGAAAGAAAGAAAGAAAGAAAGAAAGAAAGAAAAAGAAAAAGAAAGAAAGAAAGAAAGGAAGAAAGAAAGAAAGAAAAGAGCACTAGATGCATGAATGAAACTTGGAGTGATAGCTGAGTGCCTTTTTCTTGTACAAAAGGTGTAAAACCATTTTTCTGGTTTTCTTTTTTTCATTTTCTTTGTCCTATAAGTTCATGAGATATTACCTCAGTTCTCTTAATCAGAGGGATTCTGGCAACTCTTGTAGCTTTTGGGTGATGGGACAAAAGCCATTTCTCCTTTGGTCCTCTGGGTCCTCTCCTTCTGCCCTCTTAACACAACCCCCACCACACACACACACACACTCCCCAGTGTTTCATGTGCACTCCAATGCACACCTAATTCACTAGGTGCACAAGAAATAGTGAGGTGTGTTCTTTTTCTTTGTGACATTTCTGTCAGAAAATTGTTTGGTTGATGCTCCCAACACTGGACGTTTTTTTAAGAAAAGATCGGACAGCCATTTTGTCCAGAATAGAATAGGGTTTGTCGCTTGGGCAGGGTCTCTGCCAATTCTGTTATTCTCCATTTTGTCTCCAGAACTCCGCATCTCGGATGGGCATCTGCTGATTCACTGCCACCCACCCACCCATGTAGGATGGTAGAGTGAGGTGCATAGCCCATCGTTGTGGTTATGCTTGGCATACGAAGGAGGCTACGTCCAGCCCTTCCTGAATACAAAGTTCTTGGGGAACACTTTCTTCTGCCCAAATCTCTGTGACCATAGTCAACATATGGGTTAGAGGGGCTGATCCAGGATTGAAAATGAGCAGGGCAGTTTTTCGGCCCAGTACGAGTACATGTTGGAAATCCCAGCAGCACATTATAAGGGGTGCATAGTCCTATAATGGCCCTACACAGGTCATCTCACCATCAGGATCTCCTTAGAGCAGGGGTCTTCTTAGAGCAGGGATCTCCAACCTTGGCAACTTTAAGACTTGTGGACTTCAAAGCTGGCTGAGGAATTCTGGGAGTTGAAGTCCACAAGTCTTAAAGTTGCCAAGGTTGGAGACCCCTGCCTTAGAGCAAGGGGGAAAACAAGATAAAATTAAGGCTAACGTGAAGGAGAGCTGGAGAAAAACTACTTTAAAACATATCTATGATCCTCAGGCAATTCAATGGGTATTATCAAATATAGCATCATATCAGACTAAGCTGGCCACAGGTGGTCACATGGCAAGTGGCCTGTAGTTAATACGGTTGCAGTGTCCTGAGAGAGACATCTTCTGACAAGCAAAGTCAACGGGGAAAGCCATATTCACTTAACAACCGTGTTACTAACTTAACAACTGCAGTGATCACTTAACCAACTGTGGCAAAAAAAGGTTGTAAAATGGGGCACAACTCACTTAATAACTGTCTTGCTTAGCATTGGAAATTTTAGGCTCAGTTGTGGTTGTAAGTCAAGGACTGTCTGTATCCCTCAGTTCAACCCTACTCTTTTCTATTGATCCAATGTAAGGATATTGATAAGCTCCCCCAATAACTATGTCCTGAGAATCATCTGATACCTCCCCCAAAAGCTCATGATGGACAAACTATATCATAGGCACAGGTCATGAAGTGGAT